AAGGATGTGGAGGCAATGGTTCTAAGCAGCTTTTTCTAGAAGTCTGGCCTCAAAAGGAGAGATAAAGAATGGTAGCCTGAAGGCTCTGTAAGGCTTTTTTTCAGGATAGCTGAGACTTGGGAATATTTTGTAGGAAGTGTGGAAGGACCCAGTAGATAAGGGAAAGATTAGAGAGATGATGCAATCTGCTAAACATAGAAGAGGTGAGGTCAAGAGTATAAGTAGCAGGGTTAGCCTTGGTAAGAAGACCCACCTTTTGATCAGACAGAAGAAGTGAATGATACCCAAGGGTTTTCAGAAGAGGAAGCTCATGGTAAAAAGTTTCTGTAAGGTACTTAGCTGAGAGGGAGGAGGCAATAGTATGAGAAACTTGAGAAAAGGTTTAGAACAGCCTCTGGGGAGTAGGATGGAGAATTAATTACAGATGAGTAAAAGGAACATACTGCTGAAATAAGGGCCCAGTTGAGCCCAATTAACACATTTATTGTGAACTGAAATACTTTGGCAGTTAACTTAAGGAACAAACCAGTGGCTCTGCGTTAAGAGAAAAGAAAAGCCAGAAAAAAGAGAGGCACAGTTGTCAATTTCCAGTATATATCTCTCAACCCTGTGGAATCCTGTTTGGCTTTCAGTAATCCTAAAGAGAAAATATAAATTGTATTTCTTTTTTAGCTAAGTAACCACCTGTTTAGAATGGAGGTTCTTAATCTGGGGTCCAAAGGTACATTACAGGAGATACAGTGAACTTAAAAAAATATATATATTTTAATAGATAAAAATAGGTATTTTAATATAATTGGTTTCCTTTTGTAGTCCTATGTATTTTATTTTAGGTACTTAAAGCAATTATTCTGAGAAGAGGTGCGAAACTGCTTTACCAGATTAGCAAAGGCTTCTATGGCTCAAAAAAGATTAAGAACCCTTTGTTTAAAGCAACAGTCAGTTTAGCAGTCTCCTAGGCTTCAGAATTGCTTTTTTTCCCTCGAGGGTGGTTCTTGCATAATAAAGAACACCAACCCTAAACTCCAAGTTAGCTGCTTTAGTTCTCAATTCCAGAAGTTGTTACACAAGTGAAGCTGGAACTGGATTCCACGCTTTTGTGAGATTCTATCTTCCTGTGTCAAGCTCAAGAAGAGTGCTTTACTGGTTTTTCTAAACTATTTGATGCTACACCAGAAGTATCCTATAAGTAACTTTGGTGGGCCCCAGGGCTCAGAAAGAACTCTCCATCCTCCGCAAAAGACAATGGAATGTGTTCAGAATTCAAGTAGAAATTCATAGCTATCAAACTGTAGGCAACAACAGGTAATTTGGGTCTCTTCTTCCTTAACCCTTACCCCTGAACCAGGACGGGTAAAACTGTAGGGGACGAGAAATGAATATGCCTATAAACTCAAACTAAGAGTAAAGAAAATTCTCTTAAAAGAAACCACAACGGGCTGAATGGAATTAACCCAAGACACAGGTTTTTAGGTAAAAGAAACATTAACTCAACTAGCTAAGAGACATGGGATGTCAAATGGTACAGGGGCATTATATTTTATGTCAAAGATAGCGTAAAGCAGGCTCAATTTATGTGAAAGCATTCCTGTTAATACCACATAAATTTACTACCAAAAACATTCATAGAAGGCTTGAAATGCTTGATGGTTTTTATGACATATAATTCCTAAGACAGTTATCAAAAGGGTGAAACATCAATCCTAACTTCTCATTTGATCACAGACACTGTATTTTAGGATTAGAATAAGTCAATGTCAGCTTCAGTGAAGTACTGGGAATGTCTCCCTCCTCACCCCCAAAACTTGGATGGACAATGAAAAGTACAAAAATTATCTTTAAAGATTTTTCCTAAAAGGAACAATGCTCATTTTTCAGGTTTCCAATGTTCAACATAAGTCCTTGGACAAAACAGACACACAGTCCTTGCTGAGACTGGCGCTTCATACAAGCCACTCTGCCAGGTAAATGGGTAAATACACCACATACTTAACTCTTTAAGTACTATTAAAACTCCCCACTGTTCTACCACTGGTCCACTACTTTGACATTACTGTTATACTCAACTGAATCTCCTATCTCATTCCTCTCCAGGCTGTACTCTTAATTTCCTCCTCTACCATGCCCCTAGCTCTTCATCCTCCAACCTTATTCCAACCCTGGAGTTCATACACTGGGAGAACCTGCTACCCTTTGGCCTTCTCAGCCTCCTCCTCTATGTGGATAGCTCTTCCAAGAACCTCCACTCCAGGAGGGCACCCAGAGCAGCCATGTCTCATTCCTCTCCAGAATGCACAGGGACCTCCCCCCTCCCTTTAAAGTAGGTGAGAGCCATATTGTGAAGGGCTTTAAATTCCAGCTAAGAACTTGGTATTTTATCATGCAGGCAAGACAGACACTTAGATTTCTGAGCAGGAAAATGATAGTCTGAATAGGGGAATGAGTATAACACCAACCAATTTAGCAGGTAACAACCCCCACAAAAAAAGCTTTGACGTAGGTATGGGAAGTTCCAGAGTTTTACATGCCAGGCTGCCAAAGTAAAAGTTTATTGTTCATGTGACCTCCAACCTCTACACTTGTCAGTATTCTCCCAGGCCAACACTCCTGTTCTAGACGTTCATCCCTTCCCAATTCTGACCCCGAAGTTAACCATTTTCTGTCATCTACTCTGTCCTCTACTCTCCAATCCCTTGTCCTCTTTGTCCCGCTTTGTCCCCCCAAGGCACTCTCACCATCTACCTCCTTGGCTCCTCCTACTCACATGCTCCTGCTGTCATGTGTTGCTAACAGAAGCTACCATACTGACTGAGCTATCCAGAAATTTGATATCTAATTTCAACTGGGTCCTCACTGCAGCAAAGCAATCCTTTTACTCTTGCCTTACTGATCATCTATCACACTTCCAAAAGAGTCTATTCTAAACTTTCTCTTCTGAAGCTTCCCAAACCAGACTGGGCCCTGACTTTCTAAGCTCAAAATCTTACCTCAAATTTAACAGGGAAAATTAAGACTAGTAACTTTGAGCTCTCTCCTTTCCCTTCTCATCCTCTTTGCATTTCAAACCTTTAAGAAGAGTTGGACCTTCACAACAAAGCCAACTCTTTTTAGGCTCTAGATCCCATCCCCTCCAGCAGGTTGTCACCAGGTCTCCCTCTATAATCTCTCCCCACCTACTAGATTATACTCTATTGTTTACAAAACACATCCAGAGCTCATCATTAGACCTTACAATCTCAAGCTGTTATCCTATATCTCTCTCCTCCCTTTCATAAATTGAAAAAGGGCAATCTATACTTCTTGCTCGTACTTCCTCTCCTCACTTACTACTCAACCCTTGCAAGATGGCTTCTGATCTCATCACAACTGTTTTCTCTAAAGTTACCAATGATCTCTTAAATGGTCAAATCTGATGGTCTTTGCCCCCTCAATCTCCATCCTTCTTGACCTCATGAAGGATTTGACACTACTGTCTACTCCCTCTCCTGGATTCGTTCTCCTCCCTGGGTTTTTGTGACACTACACTCTCTTGGTTCTTTTTCAACATGTCAGACTGCTCCTTCTCACTCTCCTTTGTACTGATTCATCTTTCTTACCATGCACCCTGAGGGTAAACCCCAAATGCTGTGTCCAGGGCCCTCTTCTTTCTACACTCCCTCTCCTGGTGACTCTCATTAGCCTTAGCCCCCATGGGTTAAATGATCACTTTTATGCAGATTTTGAGACCTATATATTCAGTCCTCATTGTTCTCTAAAGGTCCAATCCCTCAGTACCTGACACCTACCTAGTGGACATTTCCACCTAGATGTTTTATGTATATTTTCAACATGTCCAAAACATAACACATTGTCTTCCTCTTCTTCCACACACACCACTCTTCTTCATTCCTCAATTTTCTTCAAGGGCACCAAACAGCCTCCTAAGTGTCTCAGATCTGGAACTTGAGTCATGTTCAATTCATTTCCCCTTACCTTACGCACCTAATCAGTTGCCAAATTTACAGCATTTCTCCTCTGTTTTTCACTCCACTCACACAGCCACTATTCTACTTCAGGTTCTCATTACATTTCATCTGAACTATTTTAACAGCCTCAAGGCCTTATCAGTCTTTTTGCCTCAGGTCTCCCTACTCTCCAATCTGTTCTCCATACCCTATGAAAGTAATATTCCTAAAGCACAGATCTAACATGTCACTACACTGCTCAAAAACTCAAGCAGCTACTTATTACTTCTAGAATCAAATATAAACTACTCTGACAATAAATTCTTTCACAATCTGACTCCAACTTATCTTCTAGGCTTATAAATTATTCTCTTCTATACACTTATCTGCATAACCAAACTAGCCTCACATACAACATTCTCCCACCTCTATGTTACAGGCTCTCCTCTCATGTCTTCAAGACACTCCCTCCTCATTCTTAGAATTCTTCATTTCCTTGAAACCTCAACTCAAATGCTACTTCCCAATTATTATTTCTTTTGCCCCAAATTTTCACTTATGTCATCTTCACCCAACAAAATATAAGCTCCTTGAGGGTAATGTCTATTTATTTTTGTCCATGTAGCCAAAGTGTTTGGCACAAAGTAGGCACTTAATAAATGCTTATTGAAAGAATGATGTGATTTTTCACACAGTAATCCAGGTATAAAAGAAACCGAAATAGCTTGGTAATTTTATAAAATGTTAACGCTACCAAACCCCTCATCTTAGAATAAGGAAACTAATACCCATGAAAGGTTAAATGATTTAAACAAGATCACACAACTAGTTAATGGCAGATTTGAGACTATTAACCCAAGTTGCCTGCCTTTCAGTACAATGTTCTTTCTATTGTGTTTTGAGATCTCCCTAATAAAAACACAGTGTAGGAAAAAATGTTATTTTTATCTTGGGACCTCTTTTCCCTCATCCCAAAGCTTAACTCTACACTACAGCCTATGGGAAAATGCCCTGACACAAAAGTTCAATTTCCTTCTTCACTGTATTTGGTCATACCTCCTCCCTGCATCATTTTGTAGATTTTGCTCTCAATATGGAGCTGAGGGTGTTTGGTTTTGACACATTCGAGCTTGATGGCAACTTCTTCTCCTGCAGCAATGTCAGTACCTAATGGGGAAAAAAAAAGTTATAATAATTAGTTGCCTGGGCTTAACCTACTAGGAGAGGGCACTTTTTGCTAATTTCTGTCAACTAAGGTTTTTTTTTTATCCTAAATTATAGAAATTTTTATTACTTTTCTATTTTTTAAGATTTTCAGATCCAGTTTGAAAAAAAGCTTTCCAAATATGATAAAAACTCCCCTTCTTTATAATCCATCCAGATTAGAATTTATTAGTAATGCTAAACCATGTGGTTTTTTTTTTATCACAGAGATAAAACTAATATATTTTTCTTTTCTGACTATTCTTTAGCCAACCCAGATTAGTATATTATCATGTTCAACCAACTAAGGCATTGGCAATTATGACTATCTATGTCCTCCTGTAACATGCTACTTCATTAACCAGTACTGTACTTTCTACAAATAGGATAAGTGTCCTTGTATTTAGAACTATTTTTCTAGTAGTGAGGTTGAGTTTTCAACAATCCACCCAAACAACCTGAAACTGATCACCCAAGAATCTATCAGCATATGCTAAATGTCAAACTGTCTGGGATGTTCTAAACATAATGCTACTGAAGCCAAAGGTTCGATTTCCAAACAAGTCTGAAGCCTGTTTAATAGACAATGACAGCATCTTAAACCTCTGCCAGGAACCCTGAAAACATGTGCTACTGGTCACAAGGAAGACTAGGCAAGAATACAAATACCCAATGCTAATGCAAACCTTAAACTTTTATGGGGAAAAAATCCCAAGTGTACTAGTAGCATAAAATCCTTATATAAAGAAGACGACCCTTTGGCCTCTCAGATAAGACAAAAGCACCAGGAGGCAGCTAGGTGGTACAGTAGATAGAGTGCCAGGCCTTAAGTCAGGAAGACTCATCTTCCTGAGTTCAAATCTGGCCTCAGACATTTTCTAGCTGTGTGACCCTGGGCAACTCACTTAACCCAGTTTGCCTTCGTTTCTTCAGCTGTAATGTAACCTGGAGAAGGAAAAGGCAAACCACTCCAGTATCGTTGCCAAGAAAATCCCAGATGGGGGCAGGTAGGTGGCACAGTGGATAGAGCACCAGCCCTGAAGTCAGGAGAACATGAGTTCAAATCCAGCCTCCGACCAAACACTTGAAACTTACTAGCTGTGTGACCCTGGGCAAGTCACTTAACCCCAATTGCAAAAACTAATTTTTTTTTAAATGGGGTCATGAAGAGTCAGACAGACATGACTGAAACAACGTTTTGTCCATTTTTGTCAATGTTGTCATTCTACACAATCAATATGACTGTCATCTAGTTTGGGGATGGAATAAGAATTATTTTATCTAAATATGTAAACTGAAATCTCTGCTCCATTCCAAAATAGAGACTGCTCACATCTGCCCTTATTATACTCTCTACCACAACAAGGTACTGATACCCAGATGTTACAATTATTCACAAAACAAGCACAAATTAGCCTATAACCCAAAGCTTTATACTCAACCAGGCTTTGAGAATAGAGAATAGGAATGGATGAATGGATGAGGGAGAAGAACTTAACACTCACATTCTTTCCCTCATAGGCTACATAAGCCCAAAAGACCATAGGATAAGAGCAGCCAATGCCTAGAACAACCCACACTGAGATGAACAGAGTCCTGAAATCTACTCAGTATTGCTACTGACTCTGCCTCATTGAATGAATGGCTTCAGACAAAACACTACAGTCCTCCTTGACTCAACTTTCCCCACAATTAAAAAATCTGTGGGAGGACAGCTAAGTGGCGCAGTGATAGAGCTGGCCTTGGAGTCAGGAGGACCTGAGTTCAAATCTGGCCTCAGACACTTGACACTTACTAGCTGTGTGACCCTGGGCAAGTCATTTAACCCTGACTGCCTCACCAAAAAGCAAAACAAAAAACAAAAAAAAAACAACCTGTGGGAAGACATGCTGTTTCAAAAGGATACAGCAAGGAGAAATCTTATTATTTTCTATTTTCTAAGTACTTTAGCTCCTAAGAGGAAAGGTGCTACTAACAATAACCTGGGTTGCAAGAAAAGCTACCCCTCTGACAATCCACATGTCATATAACTTAGCCATGTCCAAGAAACACTTAAAGAATCTGAGTCATACCCTGTCTGCCTGAACTGTTCTGAGACAGTTTACTTCTAGTAAAATAGGACATCTGGTCACTTATGAAAAACGAATCACTGCTTCCCTCTCAAGAATGACCATCATTTTATTATTACTAATAGACTATTTGCTATTCAAGAAATTAATTTACCATTCAACATGAGCCATTTTGAACATTCTCATTAGAATACCATGTAGCGTATCCAATACCGACTAACGCAATTAAGGACAATACACACATGGATTCAGTGACTCTCCCAAAACTCTACTGAAAATGAATTCACTAATTCAGTTAAGGATTATTATGACTGATGTTAATTGTATGATGTTATGACCAATCTGCTAAACTTTTCTAAGAAGCAGAGAGATAAACCTATGATACTTTTCTTCTTTGTATAAACTTGTCAGCACAACATCACTTAGCAGCTGGCAGGAACTCCATGACAGGACAGCTGCACAGCAGCACAATCAGACTTTCTAAGGCCTGTTATCCTTGAAGGTGCTCATTCGATAGACACAGTACAACATTCCTTGAGACTATTTCTGCTGTGTAAGAATAACTTCTGATAGTTACCTTCAGCAATGGCAGTTTTTTATCCCCTCTGCCGAGCCCAAGGAACCATAGGTTTTGAGCAAACAGAGACACTCCCAACTAGTTTAACAAACAGCCTGGGAGTTGGCCTTATACTGCTTGACCTATAGATGGAAGGGATATCCTGCTCTCACGACTGGCTAAAGGAATACAGGGGGACAAGTACTATCTGCCACATAGATGTAATAGCAGGATATGTCCTACGCTGTTCCCTCTGGGTAGCTCATCTCCTGTGGGACAGGCATGTCAAGTCCAGTGGCTGTACTTCAATGAATTCCTTGGCTCTCAGAAGTCACATACACAACCACCCATGAGCATCACAAAGATTCTTATTTTTGGTTAGTGAATCCCTTCCACAGTATAAGTCTAACAATATTCCATCAAGTTCAGATATTTTAAACTAAGACTAAGCTTTAAATAGGTTCAGTTCATTAACATACGAACATTAAATATAGATTTTTCTACACAAGACTGTATGTCGCTATGTTTGTTGACTGTACCTAGAACATGGGTTTCTGTGACCAATAACTTTAGCTCTTACTCAAGCCATCACTTAAACTTTCCAGGTAAACAGGACGTTAACTTCCCAGAAGAACATAAAGAAATAATCTAGATATCTAAAACAATTGATTACCACTCTGAAAGGAAATTTTGGCAAAAAATACTGAGGAACACAAATATTAACTCCCCAAGTGCAGGACTGTTTCATTTCTTTCTTTGTATCCCCAGTGCCTGGCACATAGATGTTTAATAAATGCTTGCTGATTATCTAGGTTCCACTAAAATTCCACTCCAGTGTATTGTCATCTATTGCACGGATGTGACCTTGGATTCTAGAAGGCTTTGCTAGAAAAGTATAAAGTATGACAAGACTTATCGATCAAGTTAAAACAGTTTGAAGTAGAGGACAGGCCAAAAACTTTAAGTTCTGCTGCCTGAGGACCAGGCCTAGCTAAATTTGGAAAGCCCCATCAGTTGATCTGTGATGAATTTTCACTGACAACAACTCAAAAGGACTATCTACTAAGGTACAATGGGTTCACAAATATCTTCGATGACAAAATTCTTTAAGTATTTAAAGAAACAGGTGGACATAGCTACTAACTCTAACATATGAGATATATGTTAGATATGAGAATACACCAGTAATAATACCCCCCAAACCACCTTAACAATGATATTACCAGAGCTTCTATTAACTCACATGGTGACACGTGTGGTACTAAAAAAAGATGTCAAAACCTGGAAGAAATATTGGTGAGAGGACCCTGGACAAATATTCCCATATAATGAAAATTTCTAAATTGCTATGGATACTGCTTTCCAGAGGAGCTACAGACAATACTTTAAATAAAAAAAAAAAGAAAAGAAGTACATTTCCAGCTAATTAACAAAAGTTCTTCTTGCTTTCATTATCTAACAGGCACTGCCACCAGACACTAGACCAAAATGCCACATGTTTCAGCCAGAGGACAGGACACCAGACATATAAAACCCATTCCCTTACCACTTAGACATGACAAAAGGACTATGTTAAATTTTGACCCGATTATACTCCACAAAACACATGACAATTGTGAAATGCTCCCAGCCTGTACTTTTGTGTGAAGTTTTATAAGATTCAGGTTTTAGACCTGAACCTTTTGAGGGTGAACTTAGAAACCAGCTCTCTTAGGTCCAGTAAGGAAGCTACTCCAAACCCAGATAATGAATGATCTAGGAATTCTGCCTGGGGTAAAGTAGCAAAATGGTATATCATCTGTTAGAGGGCAACTTTTGGATACAACACTTCTGGGTCCATGCAAACAAATTTAATTGAATACTCTGGTATGCCTTGATGTACTGTTGAAAACTTAAGTTCCTCAAAATTCATAAGTCATACTGTCTTGGTAGTGGGAAAAGCAAATCCCAAGTCTGAGAAGACTTCTGAGTCCCATTTCTTGGCTCATCTTCGCCCATTAGGACAGAGAATGAGTAGTTAGCAGTCCTTTCATATGACTGAACCAGCACAGTCGGCCGCATCAATAAAGCAAGATTGTACTTGCTCATGTTGTTCCACTATCACGTTCTGAAAAGAAAGCTCAGTGAACTATAGGACAGCTTCTTCCTCCAATGAAACTATCAAACATCAGAAAGAATGAGATGTTAGGTGGAAACTATCTATGCATCTAAACCACCTATCTACCACCAACCAAAAAAACAAACAATCTTCATACATAATCCCTTGTAACTGCAATAGTCCCTTCTTAGGTAGGCCCAGGCAAACTGCAATAGCCATCTCTCTACTACTGTGACTGTTAGAAATTACCTTAGTTATGAATATATTACTAAAATATTCTCTGATCCAGTTGGCACTTAGAGCTACAGACTCAGAGCCAGGAAGACCAGAGTTCAAATTCAGTCTCAGACAGACCAGCTGTGTGACCCTGGGCAAGTTATTTAACTTGCTTGCCTCAGTTATCTCATCTCTTAAAATAGGGATAAGAATAGCACCTACCTCCCAGGGTGGTTGTGAGGATAAAATGAGATAATATTGTAAAGTACTCTGCAAATCTTAAAAGTGCTAGGTAACAATAATAGTACTAATAATTCATTTCCTCCTCAATTGTCTGTACTAACGCAATAAAACAGAAATACAGGGACCATCTCATTTTTTTCTTTTTGTATCCCCAACACTAGCCACAGTGCTTGGCACAAAAAAAAAGGGGGCTTCATTTTTTTTTTGCATTTATTCAGTAACACAGAACATTAGATAATCCTTACAGTCACTCAAATTTGCATTTGAGATTTTTTTTTCTTCTTTGGTACAGACCAGTAATTTCACTGGTGATTTTATTGGCATAGGGCACTTGCCAAGGGGAAAGTCCTTCTACTAATGCAGATTAACAACTTGTTCTGCAATTTATGGTTTTCGAAAACTGCTCAGAGCATGGTGAAGTGACTAGCCTAGGATCACACTGACTGTCTGTGTGTGCCAGGATGTGTCAGGACCCAAACCTTTGTATTCCTCAAGGTTTGTACTACCTCTCAATACACCCATTAAGTGGTAGTATTATGGGAGACTTACCTTTTCACTCATGTTTTCCTTAAATTACTGCTAAAGAGTTTCCACTTGACTGTGGGGATGGGGTGGCCTGGAAGAATGCAACATACAAGGAGGAAAGCAACTGCTGTGGATAATACACACATCAGTAATCTATAGTTAATAGGAGAGGAAAGGACATCTAAACACTTAAGCTGAAAAAGGCTAGAAAATATCACATACCTACAGGCCACCAAAAAATTGCTGACAAAATTAAATCAAGTCCCACACAGATAAGATTTTGTCTACAATTACTATAAAATCAGAAAAACAATCCAAATAGACTCTTAGAACCCAGGTTCAGAAAGAAAAGCTAACCTACAATACAATGAACCAGGCCTCTGACCCCAAGACAAGGTTCTGAAAGATCCTATTTCCCGGTAAGGGGATTAGTGTGGCTAATAGCCGGTCTACTGCCCCCTAGGATCCAGAAGCCAAGATTAAAACAGTTGCCAAAATCCATTTTTCTATAAATATGCCAAACAGCTTACATTTACCCAGTACACACTGCTTCCAAAGCACTGCTGAGAATGCACCAGCTGACTACTTAGATATAAATATTTAAATACTACCACCCAACTATAATGCAGCCTTATGGTTATAAAACTTGCTCAAGCGAGTAGTGCAAAAGTTTCTTTCAAAGTGCAACAGAGCCTAAAAAGAGGGGTCATTCTCCAGGCCTACCAGGAACAAAGAAACATCATCTGTTTGTCATTCATTTTATAAACTACCTGAACTTTTGTAATACTATTTTAATATTTACAAGACCCTCAATTCCTTTTCCTGAGTTTAGGGGGTGGGGGTGGTGAACCACCCAGAAAAGGGGAAAAGGAATCTTTATAGCAATGAGTACAAAGCAGAGCTATTATTGAAATTCAAAATGATTTCCCCCTCAATGACATATAACTAAGCAAAATCCTAAACTACTCAATACAAAGATCACCTTAATCTTTAAATTTGCACAGTATTTTTCCAAGAACATGCTAGAATGGAGTTACTTGTGAAAAATACAATTTCTCTAAGAAAAACTGTGGGAAAAAAGTCACATATTTTAAGTTTCACACTTTCTGCCAGATTCAAGTGTTATGTATTGCTCACATCTATTCCTTTCACACTTAGGCTGAAACAACATAGAACATTAATCCAAAAGGTAGCTTTTCCAGAGAAAACGATCAATTACAAACTTACCTTATACATTTTACTAGTCAAAGGATTGTTTCCAGAGTACAGAATTCTCAGGTACTAGCCTCTAGTTCTGCTAATGACTAATTCAATTATTTACCCTGAGTTTCTTTCCTATCTTTAAAAGGAGGGTAACACTGATCAGCACTGCATGAAGACCAGTTTAAATTAATTCATCTTTGAGCTCTTGGAAGAGTGTGTGTGTGTGTGTGTGTGTGTGTGTGTGTGTGTGTGTGTATAAAAACTTCATCAACTAAAATTAACAACAGCATTGACTTCACAGGCTTTCCAATTCAAGGTATATCCTTTTAGTACTAAACAATTCTATTTGTGATCATTCTTAACATTCCTAGAGACATTACCTAAAATTCTCCCCCTCCACCTACCCCAAAACTGGTGGCAAAACTTACCTATCCGTAGCCATTTTAAGTAGAAGAAACTGGGACCCAGGAAGGCTCTTCAGTCACTTACCCAAGGTCACAGAGGGGCTGGATTTAGCACCCTGGGCCTCTACTTTCTCCACTTTTTACTCTAATCATGGTTGCTACTGTTGTAACATTTTACGTTTAGTAGGAAAAATAGGAACTGAAGCAAGAACATATCTGTAACAAGGTTGCTGTAGGAACTGCAACTGTGGAATTTCCGGATTTTTGACTAGTGTAGTTCTCCACCTCCACACTGCATTAGTGTTGTTTTGACATTTTCCCCCACGAGTACAAAACACATGGATTAGGGAACACATGGGGATCCCAAAGAGTTAAGTAAGATGGGGCTGTAGAGTCTTCTGAAAGAGACACGGTCTTTGTTTATTTTTGGACAACACAGTGGAGAGGTAGCAAAAGCCCTACCCTTTCCTCTCTAAAAAGCAGAGACATAGTTACAGTAATCTGATCACCGGTCTCTTAGATCCTCCACTGGAAATGTAAAGATTTTCTTTGGTGCACTGTGTTACACCATACCAGGTAACTAAGAACACAGCTCTCTCAGATATTTAGTTACTGACAATTGCATTATAGCATATATAGCCATTTATTACAATAAATACCCCCTCATAATACTATATCTAAAAAAAATAAATAAAATGTAATAGTTATTTGAACTCAAATCCACAGCACTATTGACACAAAAATGTATTTCTTCACTCAGGCTCTTAACCATATTAATTTCAGGAAGCAATGTATTTCTAAGTCTTCTAACTTTCCTCCCTTAACTTCAAAGCCAAAGGAAGCAACCTGGTATATAGGAAAGAGATACTAGTCTGGGAGTCAGAAACGGGTTCTAGTTCAAGCTCTGTCACGAATAAGCTATGTGACCTTGAACAAGTGGATAAACCTCTCTGGGACCTCAGTTTCCTAAGCTATAAAAAGGGGGAGGGAGGGAAGACCTGGAATGCTTAAGGTAACTTCCATCTCTAACATTCATTCTAATAAAATCCGGTCGCCTCTCTTCTCCCAAGGGTAGAAGTTTTATTGATGAAGTTTAAATTAACCTTCCTCTTGATGTTAAGATCTTTCCAAAGCAAATATTTTGGGGACTCAAAAAAGTCCTATCTAGAATCAGGAAAAACTTAACATCAGACCTCCACCATCCTTAAACCCAATCACTTCAGGTTCCTGCATCCTCAAGCCAATGATTTGGTCTCCTAGGACAGTGCCAGAATTTGATTGGGGGGGGTGGGGAGGGAAGAGGTGGGGAGTTGAGAGCAGGATGGATGGTCTGAGTGGTTAGAACCTAAAGCTACAACAGTGTGGCTTAGATCCTACACAAGGATTCACCAGATAAGTAAATAATTCACCCTCATTCACTCTCGAAAAGGGGCTAAAGTAATTAAAAGCATCCCAGAACAGGACACTGAAAAAGTCTCATACCCCCCAAGTTCAGAGACTGCCGCCCCCCTCCCCCCGCCATTAATTAATGGAGATGCCAAAACCAAAGTCCAATCCAACCAGGTTTTCCCAGGCAGGTGCCAGAAACTCAAGGTGCTCTAGACTGGAGTTCGATTTCACCCAGAGAGCCAGAGACAGACACCGAAGGGTATTAGCACTGAGTCCAGGCTGTGGCTCAACAAAGGTCCAGGGGTAGGGTGGGGTGTTTTGTCTGGGCTAAGTGAGAGCAGCTAAGGTACACAAAGGTAATGTGAGAAAACTAGGATAGAGGGAGTAATAGGGGGAGAGCATCCCCGGATGATAAAGGGCTATAGTGGTCAAGGCAGACTGGCGGAAGCGACGAGAGGGCAGGAGCCGGGGCAGGGGTGGAGTGGGGGTGGGGTGTCAGTGCGGGGCTGGGGGTGGGGGGAAGAAGGAAAGCCGGTGTGGGGGGTAGCAGTATGTAAGGGGGGGTTCTCTGCAGGAAGAGGGACGGGGTGGGGGAGGGGACAGGGTTTCAATCCTCACCGAGATAGATGTCTCCAAAGGAGCCGCTGCCGATCTTTCGGCCCAGCCGGTACCTGTTCCCAACTCTCAGCTCCATGACGGCGATGGCTTCGGCTCCGGCCTGGTTCGCTCCCTCCCCTCCCGACCGCTTCCTGGGTCTGCGCTCCGGGAGAGGCGGCGCCGCTGCTGCCGCTAATGCGGGTCCAGCTCCCGGCTCCGCCCCCCTCACGGCCCCGCTTTCACCATCGCTTTCCGGCCGCCCCGCCGCTCCCAGCGCCTCAATATGGGGCGGATGGGACAGTCCGTGCGCCGCCGCCCCTGCTCCGGCCCCCGCCGGCCCTGTTCGCCCTCTCCCCACCGCGGATGGACTCGGATCTTCCGGGCCTAAATCCCCCTTCAGCCGCCTAAAGGAGCCGCCGCCATCGCGCTGTGACGTCACTTCCCCTAGCAACCCGGCGGGGCGGGGCCCGCGCTGCTCTTGGGACACCAGCAGGGCGGGGGCGGGGAGAGAGGAGTGTAGGGGGCTAAGGCAGCCAGAACCTGGGGCAGGGCGGGGCGGAGAGAGGTGTGAGAGCTTCTCAGGCTCCATGGTCAGATTGGCCTGATCAGTTTGGCCGTGGTCTCTTAGAGAACGAGTCACAGTGATTCACTAGGGAAAAGATAAGCCTTACCAGTTAATCAGCGCCTACTGATCCCCCACGAACCACCCCCCCCACCCCTACTCCACCCCTAGTCATTGACCCATATAGATCCTCCAGTCAAGCTTCCACTATTTTTTCCTAAATCAGTTCCCCTCCTTCCATCGACTCTCTCCTATTCTTGAGACCCTCTCCAGTGCCTCTAAAACAAACCCCTGAAATGAGGAGAGAGGAATGGGGGGGTGGGGTCCCAAACACTTTTCACTCATTTCTTAATATCTACCTAATCACCTCACAGAGAACATTGTGTCTTCACACAATCTGATGCTCAGATTCAGGATCAGTTTCCCCTACCTACTTCTGGGCCCAAACTGGCCTATCTCCTGAAGGTTGTCCTCACTGGTTTATCTGGCCTCTCTATACATGAGGGCAAGGAATTTGGTAGCTCCTCTCTTGAATAAAGGAACATATACAGTATGTTCATTTAGCCTTCTGTTTCTTCTGGGCAGCTGGCAGGGAAACCTGTCTGTTTCTTGGGATAGATGGAAAGGCCCAACCCAGGGAGTGTCTTTTAAGAGGCTGAAGAAAGCAGATACTTCGGGACTCTGTCTTGAAGTCCCAGAGGGGAGATGAAAGTTCCCAGGAGAGTTTTAAATCCACAATAGGGAGAACTCTCTCTCTCTCCTCTTGTAGGATGAAAAATAGCAAAGTCTGACATGAGAAAAAAACAAGAACAAGGAAGGGGGAGGAGAGGGAATAGAGAAGGGATTGTGGTTGACAAAGAACGTCCAACTTCAATCCCTTGTTAAAAAAGATTCAAAATGTGGAAGACCCTTCTGAAGAATTCAGCGGAAGACTAATGTCCAGTCTTTTTCCTGAATCTATACTGAATTGCTTATGTCCAACTCCAAGCCTTACTGCTGACCCTCCTAGACTTTTGTACAATTTTGTACTATTCTGTGCAATAGTGCAGAAGCCTCTTCACCTTGGAAGTTTACTTCACCCCTGGAATTCTCATACTGGAGTTGCCCTCAGCTCACTTGGGCCTCTCCTTCTGATTAGCTGATTGCTTTCTAAACGTCCATTTCAAGAAAGATGCCCCAGCCAACCATGTCTTATTCCTTTATAGGCTGTGCTCCTGACTCTCCCCAATTTTCTCTACCATTCCCCATCTCTTCAGGTACGCTGTTTCTCCCCTCCTCCTTTTCAACTCCATGTTAGAATGTAAGCTTCTTGAGAGCAGGAACTGTTTTTCTTTCTGAGAGCAAACACTTGTTATGCTTGTTAACTTAACTACTGTATTTATCCTGTGGCTGGTGCTAAAATATTCCAGGAAGTTGACAACTGATAGTTTCCAGCTGTTGTCCAAAATGTTTTTTTCTTTCAAATAAATCCTCTCAGAAAATTAATGTCAAGAAAGATTATATTTAATATAAGGGGGGGGTGGTCACATAACCAATCAATTGCAATCTGGCCCCTCCCTACCTTTCTAGTCTTCTTACACATTACCCCAAACCATGCTCTCTACTGCCCATTGATACTACCCTTGTTGCAGACCTCATACATAACACTCCCTCTCTCATCTTTGTACCATTTCATTGGCTATCCCAATGCCTGAAATATATGTACTCCCTCCTACTTTCCCTCATTCACCTCCTACTTTTAGAATCCCTGATTTTCTTTAAGATTCAGCTCTAGCATCACCTTCTAGCCTTTTCTGATTCCCCCAGCTGTGAATGCCCTCCCTTCCAATACCACTTTATATTCATTTTGTATATTTTGTTGTTGAGACGTTTCCATTGTGTTAGACTCTTAGTGACCCCATTTGGGGTTCTCTTGGCAAAGATACTAGAATAGTTTTGCCATTTCCTTCTGCAGCTCATTTTATAGATGAGGAACTGAGGTCAACAGGGTTAAGTAACTTGTCCAGGGTCACACAGCTAAGTAAGTGGGTGAGGCCTGATTTGAACACATGAAGATGAGTCTTCTTGATTCCAAGACCAGTGCGCTATCCACTTTACCACTTAGCTGCCCTCTATTTTGTATAGATCATGTATATATTTACACATGTCCATGTTGTCTCCCCCTTTAGAACATACACTCCTTGAGGGTAGGGATGACTGTTTCACTTTTGTCTGGCACACAGAAGGTACTCCTTGAGGGCAGAGACTACCTTAAATGCTTGTTGATTGATTGATTGATTGATTGATTAAGCCATTGTGTACCTAAGTGCTGAGGGGTGTATGGGGTGTTCAGGAGGACTAGTACCTATGGTATGAGGGTTTGCTGAGCCATTTTCAGGGCTGCTCATCAACCTTTAGTGTCTACTTGCTTCACTCAGCTCTCACCTGTGGTTCCAAGAAGCTGTAGCATGTGCTATGACCATACTCCAGTAAAACCATCTCAACGGACAGGCTAAACCAGGATGAGGGTAACCAACAGACCTCAAACCTGTTCTGAGTTAGGGAGATGTCTACCTCAATCATGTGAAGACTTTTCTTGGTGGAATGGGCAGATGGAATTTGTTCCAAAGGCCATGAAGCAGAGTGCTTAGAGTTTGGTCAGACATCAAAGATGCCAAGGTCATCCACTGCATCCCGGACTATTGCCAATCATCCTTGACTTTTGTCCTGCCTTTGGATTTCCGTGACTCAGGAAGAGAGAGTAAGACTGACGACTGTGTAACTCTGCCTCGCTTAAATCCAATTCATACACAAGTCAAGACTCACGATGTCATCAAACAAAAAACAAACCACAAAAAAAGGACAAACAACTACGGCTAAATGCTCACAATACAAAGACAAGAATAAAAGAGTTGTTCCCCTCAAGAAGCTGACATTCAAGACTCTAGGACTTTTTTAAAGGGCCTTTGAACTAAAAAACACCATTTCTTGAATCCTGCCTACCAATCTGAAAGATAGGGACATTTATCTAAATGTGAGCTGGATTTTAATGTTCTTATTTCAATCAATAAATCAATAATGATTGTATGCCTTCTAAGTGCTAAGCACTATACTGGGTGTTGAGGAAACAAAATAAATGAAAAAATCCCTACTTACAAAGAACTTACATTCTAATGAGGGAAGCAAGATATGTGTATATATGTATATGTATGTATACACACATTTTTATATGCAGAACAAATACAAATACAAAATATTTAACTGTAAGGTAGTTTGGGAATCAGGGAAAGGAGATATTGAAGTTCAGACTGAAAGCTGGCCTTCCAAATTTGATCCTTTCTTCTATTAGGGTGGCAGGGGGAAATTGACTCAATTATATTTGACTGGTTTGAAAAAAAAAAGGAAAGTGGATTCTAAAATCTATAATACAGAAGCATAATGAATTTTTCTAGAAGGACAAATCAAGCAAATAATAGCTTTTCATATTTGCTAATACTCTGGATCCTTCTACCCAGAGAAATAAGAACATCTATCTACAAATACTCCAAAAGTCATAATAACAATAATTTACATTTTCATAGTTTTAAGACTGCCCTCTTTTTATACTCATCATCACTCATCCCTCTGACTTTCCAGATCAAAACACTCTTCTTTGCCTCCATTCTTCTATATGTGTTGTATGTGTTGACCTCCCCCTATCAGAATGCAAATCTCCTGAACTCAGGGACTATTCCATGTGTATTGCCATAGCTTATCCCAATACCTGGCACACAGCAAAAAATTAACACATGCTCTTCCACTCATTCATTCAAAGTGCATATACATCAGCTCTTGATGATGAGGCCTGTGAGGTGGGTACTATTATTGTCCCCATTTTATAAGCAAATAAACTGAGGCTCAGAAGTTTAATGTGGCTTGCCCAAGCTTATATAGTAAGTAAGCAGAATTCAAACTTAGGTCTTCTAAACTCCAAGTCCAATGATCTTTGTGCCTAGTGTGGCCTGTACAGGGTACAAAGAAGTATGGGCAGTCTCAAGCTTACAAATGAATTCTGTTCCAAAAGTTTTCAAGTTACTTCTTTGGAATTTCAAGCATATTTTCCCAATAAGAACAATGTTATAAGTGACAGCTACGTTCCCAGGTCAGCCTACAAGCTTCCCTCCTCCTCTCTAACTTTTTTTTCTTTGCCCTGAAAAAACCATAAAGACTAATAGTACTATTTCAACCCTTCCTAATTGCCATATTCAGCATTTTTCCTGGGGCAAATGCATTTGAAATTTCAGCTCTGGGCACTAGGAACACACATCCTTTCCTTACTCTTGTAGGAACCAGAGGAAGACAAGTTAGATTCTCCTGGACACCTTTAACTTAATTCTCTGTAACGAGGTAAGAAGATACCTCTCTGCCTCTGTATAAAGACACAAATGGTAAACTCTTTTGTTCAATTACTCCCCAGGTAAAGGGTTGGTTTCCCTATGTGAAGCAAAAGCTCCAGACTTGTTTACGTCTATAGTTCCTCCATCGATTTTCATGTGCTGGGCATTTGTAAAATGCATGTTGATAAGCTTGATACTGTTATATAAGGTCATCAATAACACAAAGAATTGGAAACTAATGGTGGGGGAGTTCCTATCATTTGGGGAAAGGCTGAACAAA